GAAAGAAAAAAGGAGACAAATCCCAGGTCAGGCCAGAGTGGATGGGAGCCCTCACTCTGTCTGGTCTCAGCAGTGCCGCAGGTGAAGAGTCAAGGTCTTCGTTGAAGAGTTTTGATTTTTCTTGCACCTGTTCACCCCTTTCCTGTCTATCTTTTTGGGTTTGTGGGAATGTGGCAGTTCTGAAGGGCTACTCTCAACTCCGAGCTTGGGGTCCCTCCTGGCTGGACGGAGGGGACCACCTAGTGCCTGCTTCCTAGGCAGGCACTCCGCCCTTTGAGCGTTCTCTCCACTCCGTTTCGATTTCAAACACTGTCCTGTGTTTGTCTTGTCGTCTGCTTGTGGGTCTGACTTGAACCTGGAGCAGAGGCCTACCTTGTGTTTCTCTGGTTCTCTAGAGCATTTCAGAAAGGGAAATGGGTAGGGTGGCACCCTGTGAGGAACCAGAGAGTGCTGCCTCATGAGCCCCCTTCTAGAAGCTCTGCCGAGGGGAAGCCAGTGCGGAATGAAAAAGGAACCTTCAAGTCTGGGTCCTTCCTTCTTCAGCACTGCGCTAAGCCACGCTTCCCCCGACCCTGAATTGGGCCCCGTGCCCCAGCCAAGCTAGACATTTGGCAGGGCTGCCATGCACCTGGGTCCCTCCCCCCGTGTATGGTGCTTGGTTTCTATCCCAGCTTCCAGGCCATGGAACTGCACCAGCAAATCAAATCAAATATCCACGACTCCTCCATGCCCAGTTTCACTGACCGAAACCCAGATGCAGCTGGAGCCAGGAGCAAACTAAGGTCGCATCCACATTGCCTGCGGCCCGTGGAGGCCTCCCTGTATCTCTGTGAGCCTGCTTTCTCCTGCTCTTTCATCCCAGGATGAGAAGCAGGGCCCAGGTGCCACTAGCCATCCACTCTCTAGGCTGTTCTGAGCCCCGGGCAGTTTCCATACACACTCATTCCTGCTGCCTGACCCAGGCTAGCCCCTATCCCAGAGCTGGAAATCCTTGGGTGGTGGAGCACAGGAGGGCTGCTTTTGTGCAGTCTCCCTATCCCTGACATCAGCCCCATTTGACCCATGACTTGTTAGCCCTGGAGGTCCTTGCGAAGTGTGTCGCCTCTGGCCACGTCTTTGATGGTTATCAAGTGGAGATGGTTCCTCCTGCTCTTTCAGTTGGTCACACTTCAGCTGGGCCAGCTCTTGGGCGGCCATATCTCCCACCTATAGCGGATGTAATTAGTGTGGGCTTTCTTTATCTTTGTTTTTTTATTTCTTGGTTTTGGGACCACGCCCTGCAGTGCTCAAGACTTACTCCTGATGCTCTCAGGAGTAAGCTCAGGGCTCATTCCTGGCAAGGACTCAGGGGACCATATGTGGGACGGAACACAGATCAGCTGTGTGTACAGGGAGCTTCTTAGCCCCTGTATTACCTCTCCAACCCCTAAATGCATGGGCACATGGCAAAGTAATTCCAGTTCTGCAGACATTTAGATACATTTCTTATCTTTCTTTTTTCTTTTTTCTTTGTTTTTGGATCATACCCGGTGAATGTCAAGGGTTACTCCTGGCTCTGAACTCAGGACTCACTCCTGATGGTGCACAAGGGAATATAAGGGATGCCAGGATTGAATTGTGGTCAGATGTGTACAAAGCAAGTGCCTTCCCTGCTGTACTTTCTCTCCACCCCTAGACACATTTCTGTCCCATATTCTTATTAGGAACCAGATAGAGGCGTGAAAGTCTCATTTCCAAATGGAACAATATGACTCATGTGAATGAAGGCTGAACACACGTCTGACATGGAACTGATTGAGATAACTTTGAGGAGATGTTTGAGTGATGGTATTGGTGGCCCCCAGCAGAGAATGTTGCTATAAGGTTGCTGAATGGGAGCAAAAACTATGAATTTCTACAGGGCTAGAGGCCGAAACTTTGCAGTGTCATCTTTCTGTTGAACCTGCATCCTGGTTGTAAGTGGGGGCCCAGTAGATCTGGCTCCTGGGCCCAATGGCGTATGGGCCCATTAGCCCCACTGACAGGCACATTCTCTTCTACCTGCCTTATTTTCCACGCCAGCGAAGTTTTCTGTGATGGTGAGTAGGCAGGCCCAGGGCAGGGAGCTGGTCCATAACCTGGTCTCTTCTTAATGGACCTTGCACGAACTCCAGTGAGATCAAGAGAAATGGCTGCCTTGCGGAAGCGTGCTGAGATTTTCAGGATAGAACTGTGAAGTGACCAGTCAAATGTCTGGCGGGAAAGTTCTGGCACTCAGAGGAGAGCTGCTGTTACAATAGATAAAGCATGTCCACACATCTGTGCCAGCCCTGTGGCCTCACATCTCGCTGCGTGGCTGCCTTTCTGCGGGTGATTTCTTCTGAGGTCAGAGGCCAGGAGAAGCCTCGTCCCCGCAGCCAAGCCTGCACTTTTCTCCTGATGAGATAAGGAGAGATTCCAGCAACTTGACTCTCCACTCGCCCACAGCCTCCTGGGCTGACCCTGTCTGAGCCAGTGAAAGGCCTTTTCTTTGTGCTGTCAGAGTCAGAGTGGCTGTGAGTCAGCGTCCTGTTGAGAATGGTCCTTGGTTCCTTGCCATGATCAACAGAGAAAAGGATTTTCCATGGATGCCCGATGTTAGGCGGGGGCGGGCATGGTGGTTCTCTCCCCAGGAGCAGAGAGAAGGGGCTTGATGCTGAGGCTATGGTTCAGCTGCCCCTTTAGCCTCTGAGTGGTTTCTCGCTTTCAAAGGTCGTACAGTGGGTTGAGCGCTTGCCTTGCATGCAGCTGACCTGGGTTCAATCCCTGGCATCCCATATGGTTCCCTGAGCCTGCCAGAACTGACTCCTGAGTCAGGAGTCAGCCCTGAAGCACTGCTGAGTGTGACCGGCAAAATATGAACAAACCATAATCTTAGAAGTGTCAGGGTGGGAAGGACCCTGCCCCAGGGTTTCCTCTGGGTCTGAGGCCCACGGTGCGTCTCTCAGGGTGGGTGGGGTGGGGCGGTCGCTGCTTGACTGGAGCTCTGGCTTCACTGAGGACCCCTGGTTCCCAGAGCAGAAATGGTGCAGTAGCCCCTGCCCTGAGATAGCAGACTCAGGGAACTTATACGCATGTTAACACTTGATTGCATCTCACCCATCCTCAGCCGGGTAATTTTGTGTCTTTAAAGTAAACTCTTACTTGCTTGGTGGGCTGGGGGCTGGGGATGCAGAAGTGCCAGGGGCTGCGGGGTGGGGGGTGTCTCTCCAGGGTGCTTGGGACCCAGTGATGCTGGTGTCCATCTGAGGTCTGCCAAATGCAGAACATGAGCCTTAGTCCTTTGAGTTCATGTGCCAGGCCTCTAAACATCGGTTTGATTTGAAAGGAAGTTTTAAAAAGTCCTCCGAGGGCTCAAGAGAGTGTACAGGGGGAGGTGCTTCCCTGAGAGGTGGACCCCCCCCCCCCCACACAGAGCCCCAGCACCGCATAACCCCTCGCCGCCTGAGTCAGACGGGCATGGGTTCACCCACCTCGCAACTGCCCTGTTGCCCCTCCTGGGCTGTCTGGCAGACCCTGGGGATTGCAGTGAAAGGAGCCGTTCTTTGACAGCAGCTAAATGCTCCAGTCACATAGCTGGGGCTTCTGCCTGCAATTTCCTGGGCCCTGGAGCTGAGCCAGAGAGGGTCGTGAGGGCCGAGGGACCCTCAGTCCTGGGCAGAGTGGGCGAGCCAGCCAGGCTTCTCAGCTTCAGCCTGTGCATTGGACAGAGGGCATCTTAGTGGGAAGTCGGGGCTGAAGAGGGGCCGTCACATCCCATCCAGGAGAGACTGACATGCGCTGCTGGCCCCAGTGCACAGCCCCTGCCTCTCTCCTCTCTCAGTTCTCTCTGAACCTGGGTTGGCCATGTGCAGGCAAGTGCCATAACCCCCATACAAGCCCCTCTTGCTCTCACCTGGGGCCTTGCCAGCTGAGCGCAGCTCTCACCAGGAAGCCCTTAGCATTCACAGCAGAGACTTTCTTTTTTCATGAGCCACATTCCTTACTCGGTCAGGAGAGAGACCTTTCACTTCCCAAATCCTTAAAAGCATGCTCTAAGTTAAATGGCATATTAGGGCTATAAAATTGGAAACCCTCAGACACCAGAAAGCCTTGCTTATCTTTGTAAACACACATGTTCCAATTAAAATAGGTACTAAAATATTTTGGTGGCACTTCAAAACTCCCAATTTAGATTTAATTTAGATTAAAACACTTACTCTTTTTAATAAAGTTATAAAATTGATTATTAAAATGGCCTGTTGAAGATTAAAAGCAGTGAAACGTTTATTTCCCTTACAAAAACAATTTAGCCTTCAGTAAGTACGATTGTATTAATCAATTATGCTATTAAAGTACAACTGCCATGTTAAATCCAACTCATTTGTCAAAAACAGTTTCTATAATTATAGAAAGTATACCTAGCTGCTTATATAGCCATAATCCGGCAGTAAATATAAATAATTGTCTCTATTAATTCAGCTCACATTTACTGTCTATTAAATCCCCAGTTAAATGGCAATTTGGGCACCTTCATTTAAAATGCCCCTAAATCTTGGCAGCTCCGTCTGACTGACAGAGCCCCACAAACATACCTCCTGCTGTGGATTTCAAAAACCAATTTATGAATAAAGTCATTTCCTGAAATAACAGCTCTTTGTTCATTATTTATTTATCAAGTTTTTTTGGTTCTTGGGGCACACCCAGTGGTGCTCAGAGCTGGTTCCTGACTCTCACTCACCAGGTGAAGCTCGGGGCTCTTTGGGATGCCAGCATGGGAGCCAGGTCAGCCGCATGCAAGGCAGCATCTTACCCGCTGTCTCTCTGCCCTTGGCTTCAGGTTTGAGGCTGTCGGGGAAGGAGACGAGGGGACGTGGGCTCATGAGTGGAGGCCCTGATAGGAAGAAGGCGTCCAGGCCCAAGATCTTGCATTCCTGCTTGGAAAATGACAGTGCGGAAAACTCTGGGCTATGGTTGGTAACTTGGCAACTTGTGTTTCCTAGGGGTGGACGAGGTCACCATCGTCAACATCCTGACCAACCGCAGCAACGAGCAGAGACAGGATATTGCTTTCGCCTACCAGAGAAGGACCAAGAAGGTACAAGCAGGGTTGGGGTGGGGGCATTTTTCCTTGTTGGAATTTGGGGGGTGGGTAATTTCTGGCAGTATTGGAGTAGAGTCAGGCTCCCTGCTGCAGTGCAGTGCAAACCACTGAGCTGTCTCCATGGCCCCAGGACCTTTCTCTTACGATTTCTGGCTATTACCAGCTTCCTTTTATTTTTTTTTTTCCTTTTTGGGTCACACCCAGCAGTGCTCAGGGGTTTCTCCTGGCTCTGCACTCAGGAATTACTCCTGGAGGTGCTCGGGGGACCATAGGGGATGTTGGGAATCGAACCCCAAGTCGACTGTGTGCAAGGCAGTTGCTGCTGTACAATCATTCGGGTCCCACACCATCTTTTGAACATGGGGTATATGAGAGTCTCTACCTGTGTCCTTGTACAAGAGTTTCCAGCCCCACCCACCTGACCCCAAAGTGCGTGGAGCTCATGCCTAGAGCCATGCCCTCATCTGGCCCAGAGTGGGCACCATCCTGAGCGCAGATCAGGCCCTCCTCAGTGGTGGGTGTGTTTGCATGCCGCCTGCTCTGTGCCAGGCCGGGTGCTGAGTGGGCATCTCCGCGCATTTCACCTGTGCGGCTTCTGCAGGCTTTGGAACCGACTTTTCTCACTTCATCTTGGGGACCTCATCTCCTCTCAGTGACACTCATCTCATCCTTAAAAATACACCCTCGAATCCTCCAGAGCTGGGTGATGAAACAGCTTATTAGTTCATCAGAGCTGCCAGGCTCTCTGCAGCGTGCCGTGCGCCCCTATTTTCATTTTCCATGCATCCCCCCCCCCCCAGTCTCGCATCTTGTCCGCAGCAAGCAAGGGACAACCCAGTGCGTGTTCAACCTTTTATTATGTTGCAGTGTTGGGAGATTTTATTTTTAAGGACAGGCTGCTTTATTTTTAACTTCCTGCTATTAAAAGCATTTGATTTATTCTTGGACGGCGCGGTGAGCGTGCTTCCTGCGGCTCCCGTTTGACTTAGAGCTTTGGAGGGAGCTGGGAGGGCCGAGGAAAAGGGCATTTCTGCCCCTCGGGGTTGGCCTGGCCACTGACCCGGGGAGACACACTCCTGCTGTTGCCCCTCCTCTGCCTCCTCTGGAAACAGCGGGCAGGCGTCAGAGAGGAAAGAGTGGCCGCCTCACTCGGGCACACCATGGTTTTCTCCAGCAGATGCTGGGTGTCTGTCCCCTCAGCAAGGCCCCAGGGACTGCGTTGCCCCCTCCTCTGCCCCTGACTGAGAACACGCTGACCTTGTGCCCCTCGTGTGCTCAAAACACAATACTTGTGCCTTCGTTTCGGACTTCACAGATGCCCCCATCCCGCATTTAGGGGAGTTCCCCCAGATCTCGATGGGGTCAGAGTCTCAGGGCTCTCAGGGTTCAGCAGAGGTTGATTGCTGTGGACTCATTGTCTCCCGTGCCCAGGGCCAAGCATGGACGTCGTGGGGTTTTTTTTGTTTGTTTGTTTGGTTCAGGACAAGCCTGATGGTGCTTGGAGCCTAATCCTGGCTTTGTGCTCAAGCACCATTCCTGGTGGGGCACAGGGGACATGTGGGACCCTGGGCATCAAGCCCAGGTTGACAGGTGTAGGGCAATCATTGTGAGGTGCTGTCCTGTGACCCTGGCCCAAACACTGGCAACTTTCCAGAAAGGCACATCTACTGTCTGATATCAGCTCTCTCTGAGCGTAATCATTTCTTTCTCTTCTGGCTTTGTTTTGTTTTGTTTTTTTCCTTTTGGGCATACCTGCTGGTGCCCCAGGGACCATGAGTTGTGGGGACTTAATGCCCGAGGCCTCCTGCTTGCAAGGTCTGAGCTCCAGTGCCTTGAACTCTTTCTTCCTGCAAGAGGTTTCTGATACGATATTTTCAAGAGAGAGAGAGAGAGAGAGAGAGAGAGAGAGAGGGAGAGAGAGAGAGAGAGAGAGAGAGAGAGAGAGAACTGGCTGCAGAAGATGTAGCCACAGAACTAGAGCAGGGGCAGAGCTGATGGGCGTGGAGGGAGCCGGAACAGAGGGGTCTGTACCCCCTTCCTATGTGTCCTGGTGCGGGCATGCCGTGGGACACTGGGCCCCCAGGAAGGTCATGGCAGATGCAGACGTCAGCAGGGGCTGAATGTTCTGTGCAGTTGAGCCAAGGGCGGAGGGTGCCCTGGGCAGGCTGCATCTCAGTGTCCCACGCTGGAGAATCGCAGTGTGACTGGGGAAAAGCTGCTACTCCAGCCACTTGGAATGCAGGAGGGGCAACTAGGTGGTTCTTCTGGAAGCTCTGGGAAGCTTCTCTCTGAACCAGCTTCCTTGCCCTCCTGTTCCTGCCCCGGCTCTGGTGGGCTGGATGGTACCCAGGATGTGGGGCCAAAGCAAGAGGTGGTGGGGAGGGGAAACGTGGAAGGAAAAGGAGGAGATGGTTCCAGGGAGGCCGTCCTCCCCGTGTCATCATTTACAGTATGCTGAATTCCTGAGGAATCGTGGACAAAAGCCAGAGTGGGTCACATTTTCCTGCCACGTTCCCGGGCTTGGCTCTACCCTCTTGCTTGAAATCTGTGTGTGAGTTGGGGAGGGCTCAGGCCTTGCACGCAGGCGGCCCTGGGTCTCCCAGGCCCTGCATGTCCCCTGGCCTGACCACTGCTGGGGAATGACCCCTGAGCACGGGGCAGGGTAGGCCTCTGAGAACCACCCTGCCCAGACCCAAACCGAGCAAAAGAGAAGTAGAGAGCAGGGGTCAGAGGCAGAGATGGCGGAGGTCGTCAGCCCTCATCCTTGCTCACAGCCCATCCGGTTCGGTCTGACCAGTACACACGGTGTTAGAACAGGTGTTTTCCCGAGGAATGCTTCGTGAACCTTCCAGCCACAGTGGGGTTCTGGTTCCTTCTGGTAACTCCCAGCAGCCGCCCGACTCTCCCAGCCCAAGCGGGGTCACGTCACAGAGGACGGCTTGGGTAGTAGCAAAGCCACCTTGTCTCGCTCTGCAGGGCCCAGCCCCGGGAACACGCCTGCCTCCTACGAGCTGCTGTCACTCTTGAGAGTGGAAGGACACTTCCTTCACTCGCAAAGCCCCCCTCTCCCAAGGAATCCTATCCCCCCACTGGTCAGGGAGCCTGGGAACCGGTGAGGGTGGCTTGGATGATTTTGCTGAGCGGTGCCTTGGCTTCTGCCGGCGGGGCAGTGGGCCGCTCAGACCCGCTCTCCAGATTCCCCGTCGGACTCTGGCCTCCCACAGGCTGAACGTGAGCTGGGGCTCCTCACCCACATCCACCCCTTCTTTTCCTGAAGGAACTTCCTTCCGCGCTGAAGTCAGCCTTGTCCGGCCACCTGGAAACCGTGATTTTGGGCCTATTGAAGACACCTGCTCAGTATGATGCTTCCGAGCTGAAGGCATCCATGAAGGTAAACACAGTCTCTGTCAGATCTGCCATTAATATTGGGGAATTACAGTCTTCTGAGTGTAATTAGGTGATTTTCAGTTTCGTTGAATTCTCATTTAGAACTTTTTTTTTTTTGGAATGAACTGTCTCAGGATTTATACCAAAAATATTTCAATTACTTTTTTTTTTTAAAGACTGTAAAGAAATTTCATGATGCTGAGAAGTCAGTTACCAGCTGCTTGGCACCTGGGCAATTGGAATACCATTTGGGAAAAAACGACTTCCTTGATTACACTTCCTCCTTAGAAAAGATTGGTTGGGATATTAAGGCAGAAGTGAAACTCAGAGCTTTTGTGAGGTGAAGCTTCAAAGTTCTGCTCTTGCTCTCTTGGCTGTTTCTCCCTCTGACCTTGGCAGTATCTAATTTGGGTTCGAGGAATAAACTGACGGTCACCTTGCTTTCAAAGGGGTGTGTAAGTACCCATGGGTGCCCGGCTCTGGGCAGTGCATCGCGGCATATGCTAGCTCTTTGGGATTTTTGGCAATTATTTTGAGCAAGGCCATTAGAAACCAAACCATCAAATTTCCAGGTTGGAGCGCCCCTCCAGGGTTTTGTGTCTACCTGTAACAAGTGTGTATATGAAAGCTCAAGGCAGAAACTTGAGCGCCTGTCCCCACGAATGGGTGAGCTGGCCGTCCTTTGACTAGTCAGACACTGCCCTCTGCTGGTGCAACTGGGGAACGCCTCGGCTGGAGGGCTAGCGCTGTTTTCTCAGATTTTTAATTGCAAATCCACATGTGCCTTCCTTCCTTCTTCCTTCCTTCCTTCCTTCCTTCCTTCCTTCCTTCCTTCCTTCCTTCCTTCCTTCCTCCCTCCCTCCCTCCCATCCCTCCCTCCATTCTTCCACACATGGTGATGCTCAGGGGTTACTCCTGGCTCTGTACTCAGGAATTACTCCTGGCGGTGCAGGTGGGACCATATGGAATGCCGGGGATAGAATCCGGGTCAGCCGTGTGCAAGACAAGCGCCCTTCCTGCTGAATCCTCGCTCCAGCCCCCGTGTGCGTTTTCTGCCATGCTTTGTGCCCCAGTCATAAGGAGACACAGTCGTGAGCCTGCCACTGAGCCCTGGCCTGGGACACGCCTTACGCTGTCCACTCTCCCACAGAGCTCTGAGGTGGAGGGGCAGGTGCCCAGCGCAGGCATCTTGGGGCCTGAACTTGGGGGGGCTGCTCAAAGATTGATTGTGAAATCTTTTTCTTCCTCCCCCACCCCCTCCCCGGTTCTGTGTTGTGTGACCTTGTTCTGGTTTTCCGAACCAGGCAAGTATGCGGGGACGGCCCCATTAAAGAACGCTCAGATGTCAGCACCACTTAATGATTCTGCCTGATGGAAGGAATGATTCTGCCTGGAGACCAGTCTGGGACTGTCCCTTGAACTCACACAGGAGCCAGCTTCTCTTCTCCAGAACTTTCCTTCTGACTCTCATGGCTTCCTGTCAGCGTATCTTATTTTCTGTCAAGAATCTGTTTAGTTGTGACTTTCCTGGGATCTATCACTAAGTATTAGGAGCTTGAAGTGGGCCCATCTGAGTTGTCACTGCCGTGCGGTTTTCGCTATAATTGGACCCAGTGACAGGAGCTTTCCCAGCTCAGCCTTTGTGCGGGTGCCAGTATTTCCATTAGTCATCCCAGGCCAGGATCCTTCTGAAACTCATGAAAGTGACACCAGCTGAACTGTCCCTGAGAGAGGACGTGTTTTTGGCCCCTGGCGATACCGAGGGCAGTAGCTTCCGTGTGCTACTCAAGAAGTTGTCCCTGTGATGAAAATTGTGGAATTGTGGCCAGTCTGTGAAAGCTGGGCCCAGTTCTAGGACCTGCCAAGGTCGCCTCTCAACATGGAGATAAAGACATCGAGAGAACCCTCAGGTATCGACACAGGGTGTGTGTGATGAAGAAACCCAGCCTCGCCAGAGAATTGCCTCTCCGACGTCGCAGCCACGTTAGGGTGCAGCATTTCTTCTAGCACAGGAGTGTTTTCTAGACTAGATTTCTCTATTTTGCTAATTTGTCTCTTTGCTGTGGTGACTCCTGGCTGTCTCCTGGCTCTGTGTTCAGGGATCGCTCCTGGCAGAAACCGGGTGCCAGGAATCAAACCCAGGTCTGCCTCATGTAAGACAAGCACCCTATCTGCTCCACTCTCTCCGTGGACCTTGTATTTCTACCTTTCAAGTGGAAAAATTTTTCCCTTAAAATATTTAAACATCTTGATAGTCAGTCCCTAACATTTGTATTCAATGTCTAGATAGAAACTCTGCTCAAAGGGAAGACATTTGGCTTCCTCAGAACCTCTACAAACCATGATTAAAAACTCTGGAAGAGGCATTAGTTCATAGATTAGATTAAGAATGAAATTCAAAATTAGCCATTAACCCGAGGCTTAGCTTGTATTACTCAAGTCGCCTTTTCAAAGACATATAAACTCTAATAAGTTTAATTAATAGCAGACACACTTTTCATGTGGATAAGTAAGTTTCTGATTGTATTAACACCTTCTAATTGATTTACATTTTTAACAGTTGTAATTCTGCTCAGTTCAAAGTGGTTTTGCCATATTGGGAGACAAGTATTAGAGAAGCCCGATCATTAAATCTGGACTTTGATCATGAACCCCACTTTGAAATACATGTTTCAGGGAATCCTTTCAAGCAATCTGGCACACTCAAAGTGTATTTATTAAATCTGAATATGTCACCCATCAAATTATTATTTCTTAAGAGAGCATTGGAGTCTGGATTACTTGGTCCTTTGTTATTTCCTTTTGCTTTTCTAAACTGACCAAAGAATCCTTAAACAAAAAAACTGATGTATAAAATGATATCTTTAACGGTAACCCACTTTCACACTACAGAGACATCAAACTAATTTTTTCCCTCTTACCTTTACCTTCCTCTGATAAAAAGTCTTACTCTCAACTCAAGATACTAGCTGTAAATGACAACATTTAATATTCCTTTATTTTAGAATACTGAACCAGAGAGATAGTCCAAGAGTTAAAACACTTGCCCTGCATGTGGCTGACCCAGGTTTGAATGCTGGCACCAAATGACCCCACCCCAGGCAGCAGCAGAAACACACAGCTCCTGCACACCGCCAGGTGTGGGCCCAGTCAGGCCTGTCCCCCATATAAAATTCCAAGCAGAGGTGGATTTGGTTTGTTTGTGTGGGAGTTGCACCTGGCTGTGTTTGAGGGTACTCTGGGTTGGGTGTTCTGGAGATGGAACCTGGAACCTCCTGCTATAAACCTGTGCTTAGTCTCAGCAGAATTGTTTCACGAAGGACAATATTTTCTGTGTACTAAAATAATGGATGCTTTGCAGGAAGCGGAAGGGGCTACTCTGAAACCCACCTCCTTGTCCCTCTGCTCTGCCACGATGGTCTCCTTGAGTCTAAGTAGTAGTTCAGAAGAATCCCTTACAAGTGTGTATTCAGAGTGAAGAATTTCTTTGTTTATAGGGGGCTCCCAGTTTGTGTTCAGAAGGTCCTGGTGGTTCCATGCAAGGGTTGGAGGGTGCAGTGCTGCTCCTAAAGGGGTCACCGCAGCAGTGCAGGGGGTGTCCGGGCCCCCCCAGGAGGAACTCGGGGGACCAAGTGCTGCGAGAATGGAACTTGACCACTGTCTTCTCTCCAGCCATGAAAGCACTGTCCTCCTCCTCCTCCTCCTCCTCCTCCTTCTTATTCTCTCTCTCTCTCTCTCTCTCTCTCTCTCTCTCTCTCAATTTTTTTTATTGAATCACAATAAAGATACACAGTTACAAAGTTGTTCATGATTGGGTTTCAGTCATATAAAGTTCTAAAATGGAATCTTTCAGAGCAACAGAAAATCTCCGTGGCCCAATGAGCCTCCAGCTACTGTGTGTCTGGGCCCAGTACATCTCTAGCTACTGTGTGTCTGGGCCCAGTGTGGCTCCAGCTACTTTGTCTCCCAGGCCCATTTTGCCTTCAGCTACTGTGTGTGTGTGTGGGGGGGGGGGGGGCGGGGAGGCAGTGCGTCTCCAGCTACTGTGTGTGGGAACCAGTGCGGCTCCAGCTACTTTGTGTTTGCGCCCAGTACAGCTCCCCAGTGCTCTCAAAGCACAGCTTACTCTCTGCCCTGTGCTCAAGGGCAGAGAGAAGCCTGAGGATCACCAGGACCACATTCACAGCTGATGTCTCTGCTGCCTGTTACAGGGCCTGGGGACCGACGAGGATTCTCTCATTGAGATCATCTGTTCCAGAACCAACCAGGAGCTACAGGAAATCAACAGAGTCTACAGGGAGAGTGAGTGCTCCCGGGGCTGTGGCTGACTGCTCACTGTGGGCAGAGACACTGGCGTGGGGCTGGGGCGTGGGTTTGCTGTGGTCCAGCCCTCATCCTTCTCCTCCACCTCCTTTTGTCTGGGTTGCTGGGTATTGTGTCCATTAGAACATCTACAAAAGAATAGACAAGGAAGGAAAGGAGAGAAAACAGTAACAAATTGTTTTTGCTTTTGATTTTGGGACCCATTTGGAAGTGCTCCAGGATTACTCCTGACTCTGAGCTCAGGGATCATTTCTAGGGGTGCTCAGGGGACCATACGGGATGCTGGGAATCAAACCCAGGTCAGCCGTGTGCAAGGCAAGTGCCTTACCTGATGTACTATCTCCGTGTCCCCAAACAACAAAATTTTTAACACGTTGATGCCAGAATTGCAATATGTGTTAACTAACCCACAGCCAAGTGTGAGCCACTGGTGACGCGAGCCAACAGCAGTGATCTGAACAGAACCGGCTGGACCCACTGGTTGGGTGTACCATCTCTCCTGAAGGGACTCCCGGCTCTGGGCCATGGAGCTGTGCTCTGAAAGTATTTGTGCCGGGTCCTATCAGTGGCTGTGCTTACACTGTGGCAGCTTATCTGTCTATCTAGGATTAATTACATTCAGGCCTAGATGCAAGTAGCAACAACAAAATGCAAGTTGTTTCCAAAGTCCTATTTAACTCTTACTAGTCTTCCTCTGTGAGTTTTCTGTCTGGGTAAACAGCAGGATGATGTGGGCATGTGGTGGTGCAGAACCACGTGCCGGTGCCCCGAAGAGCGCAGAGCCACGAAGGGAGGGTCGAGAACAGCCCCCAGCTGTGAGAGTGCGTCCCTGCGGCCCACCTTCACCCTTGTTGCCATCAAACTAGCTCAGATGCGGCAAGGGTGAAATATTCCGGAGGGTTTGCTCTCCTTGAGGTGACTTATCTGGGCTGCCCCCAGCTGTTCTCTGCTGGTCAGAGCCTTGGGGGGCCAGGTGGGTTCCAGGTGGGCTCTGGGTAGGGCGGGACCCCCTCACAGCCAGCTGTGCTGTTTTCCAGTGTACAAGACGGATCTGGAGAAGGACATTGTCTCCGACACTTCCGGTGACTTCCGCAAGCTGATGGTGGCTCTCGCCAAGGTTGGTGCCAGCCTGTTTCCCTCTTTCTCCCAGGCATGCCCCCTGCCCCCTGTTCTGTACTTGGGCATGAGCTCAGCCCATCCTCCATGTCAGCTTCAGAAATTCCAGCTGTATTTCCCACGGTGCCTCTGCACTGACAAGGAGCAATGTGGGATCGGGGCCTTGGAGGCTGGAGGGGGTCGGCGGCTCTGAGACCCTGGGCAGGTTTATGTCCTGGCCATTGCTGTGCAAGCTGGGAAGATGCTCGACCCTTCTCTAGGGACTCTGAGGACTTAGAGGGAAATAAATCCTTCTTGCTTCTTCCCCAGCTGCTTACACGGCAGTATGCCAGCATTACTCAGTGCCTGGGAAGCGGGGGGGGGGGGGGGGGGGGGGGGGGGCGGGGCTTATTTCCCAGTGTTCACTCGTCAGTGCAGAGCAGAGGCACCTTCCCTTCTGGGTTTGATGGTACCCGGCTGAGTGTCTCCACCCCAGGGGCGGGAAGTGAGCCGGGCTTCCCTCAGCCTCAGCTGCTGCCTCTTGTCCTTGTCTGCAGACCACACGGCCTTTCACTCCCCTGAACAAAACTAACTTCTGAAATAGAACCTGAACTTTTACCACCCTCAAAGCCCACTGTGCCTGGTCCCTCTGCCCTCCCTTCGCCTTCCCCACTGGATTCCTTCCCGAGTCCCTGCTCAGGTCCTGTCCCATGTCAGCGGGGGCTGCATGTCCACCCTCAGCCTCTCACCTCTTCTTCCAGCACCTCCTCCTTGGTCCCGGGCCACGGTCACTGTGGACAGCTCTCAGCTTTCTCCTCTCTTTGCATTCCCTGCCTTCCCGGAGCACTCAGGTCTACTGTGCTGTTTGCATCCGGTCCATGCTTGTTTCTGGTTTGGAGAAGAAAGCCGAACAGGATTTGCTTCTTTGAGACCAGGGGGATGTTCTACAAGATACTTATTTAGCTCACGTTTCAGTGAAGAGGGGTGACAACAGCGGGTGTTCAGCCCCCCCGTTAACAGCTGTTGTACCAACCCTGGGTCTTATCTTGGCTTCAGAGAGAAGAAATGTAAGCAGTTATTTCTTCAGCAAATTCAAACAAGGACTTAGAGGAGAGAGAGAGAGAGAGAGAGAGAGAGAGAGAAGAGAGAGAGAGAGAGAGCGAGAGCTTTTTAATATATGAAGAAGTAAATTTTGTGTCTTGAATCTCTCCCCCCAGGGCAGGAGAGCAGAGGATGGCTCTGTCATCGACTATGAGCTCATTGACCAGGATGCACGGGTAAGTGCGGGGCCCCATGTGGACTCTGTGGTCACTACCCTGGGTGACCAGTGACCTGCAGACTTCATGCCTAAAACCTCAGGCCTTTCTTTTTCCTTTGTGCCTGTGCTCCGGGACTCCTCCTGGGCACTGCTCGCGGGTGGTTCCTGCAGGTGCTTGGGGACCATGCCGTGTTGGAATTCAGCCAGGGTCTCCTGCATGCGAAGTCTTTGCTCTGCCCATTGAGCTCCCCACCCCACCAGCATTCCTCCTCAGGGTCCTGGGGAACTTGAGGACCAGCTGTTGACAAGCCCACAGACATGTGTGGGCCAGACTGGGTACAGGGGCTGTGTCCATCGGTTGGGCCTCTGGGCCCCACTCTGGCCTCTCCAGGGTGCCTTGGGGTCCTCCTTGCAGCACCTTGGGCTACTCCTGTGGGCTGGATCCAGGAGAGAAGGCATAGGGGAGGCAGGACCTGTGGGGACCTGTCCCAGGACTGCACCCCGCACCTCCACTCACTCCGTAGACTGAGCTGGCAGTACTGGAGGGCGCCACCTCTGAAACTGAGGGGTCGGGGGTCGGGGTACCCCATCCCTCACAGGTGTTGGTGCCAGGGGCAGGATCTGCATTGCTGTTGACCCTTTGGGGGTCACTGGGGTGCCTGATTTTTGTCTGTGGGTGGGGACAGGTAGGGCGCACTGGTCGCCACTGGCCAGGCTCTGTGAGCCAAGAGGGCAAGGAGAGAGAGAGAGAGGCTGTTGCCTCACCCAAGCACTTCCTCAGAGCTGAGGCCAGCTGTCTCGGGTCACCATGGCTTCACTGTATGTGCGTTTCCCCTGAGATCCCACAGGGCTGCAGTAGGAGGGACGAGCATGGGGGCGTGACACAGCTCCCCGGCTGCGGGTCTCCGAGAGTGCCAGTCTCTGCCTTTTTAATGTCTCCATCCTGTGGCCCCTCGATTTCCTGGAGACTGGAGCTAGGTTGAACGGGCCCTTTATCCCAAGTCTCCACGGAGCTCAGCTGTGAGCACCCGACCTGTGGGGTCAGCAGATCACTGTTTCCAGCCCACCCGTTAGCACGTGCTGTGGCTACTGAGTCATGGAACCCTGCCACTGAAGTCGCTGCACTGTTTTTAAATTATTGGCAATTTAAAAGTTTTAATAAAATGAGCATTCTAATAAAACTAAGCCCAATGGGCCGAGCACAATGCTCAAAGCTTATTCCTTCTCTGTGCTCAGGGCCTTAGGGAACCTAGGCAGTGCTGGGATGGAATCTAGGTTGGACTCATGCAAGGCAAGAGCCTTCCCCCACCATGGCTTTGGCCCAGGTGCCCTGCTTTTTTGTTTTTAATGCATTGCACAATTATATATATATATATATATATATAGTATATATATATATATATATATATCTATCTTATATCACTCTCACTGTCCTCCCGTTGATCATTGATTTGCTTGAGCGGTCCCAGTAACATCTCCATTGTGACAATTGTTACTGTGTTTGTGTATACATATATATGTGTGTGTGTGTGTCTGCACACACGCACACACATGAAAACTTCTAGTAGTGGTTGTTTCTGATTTTTTGCAAAAAAAGTAAATGGAATGAGGGGGAGGACAGTGGAGTGATAGTCCAGCAGATAGAACACTTGCCTTGTATGCGGCTGGCCAGGTTCTATCCCTGGCATCTCATGGTCCTGGCTCTCACCGGGAGTGATCTCTTAGCAGGAGTAAGTCCTGAGTGCCACTGGTGTGGCCCAGTAAAAACAGGACACAGGAGGCGTCTCATCCTCACAGTCAAGCACTGTGGCTCTCCCTTCTCTGTGGTGTCTCAGTGTTGACGTCTCTGCACAGGGGTAAGGCACTTGCCTCTCATGTGGCCAGCCCGGCTTCAACCCTCGGCACCACATGCGTTCCCCTGAGTGGCCCATGAGTTAAGCCCCAAACACAGCCAGATGTAGGGTCCCCCCTCAGCCCCCTGAGAGAGTAGGTCTCAGGGCTAGATGGGTGCTGGTTGGGTGTTGCACTTACTCTCCTTCTGTGTGTAGGATCTGTATGACGCAGGAGTGAAGAGGAAGGGAACTGACGTCCCCAAGTGGATCAGCATCATGACCGAGCGGAGCGTGTGCCACCTCCAGAAAGGTGGGTGCTGGGCCAGTGGGGGTCTATCCCTCTCAGTGGTGGGGGTTGGGAGTTGGGGCTCTGCAGTGCCAGGACAAAGTTCACTGCCTCTCAGCACACAGATGTTGCCTTACCTGACTCCCCTCTCTCCCCTTCGGGTTTCTGATGTTTTTGTTGCTTTGTCTGTCTGCCTCCTCCTTCCTGAATACCCTATGTCTCACCCAATGGGTGCCCTTCCCAACCTCACGGCTTCCAGACGCAGTGGGGGATGGAGGTGGTCCAGCTCCCTGGCCCAGCCATGCTAGTCACATGGGGCAGTGGCACTCAGGGTCCCCGGGGACCACCCTGGTTTGCCTAGGATGCTGTGGTCCACACACCCTTTCCCTCTCCACACACATTTGTTTACAAAATCTCAGTGGCTGCCTGCAGTGTCACTGGTGGTTCTTGCTGAGCCCTGGGATAGTAACTCTGTGTGGCTTCTCCCCAGTGTTCGAAAGGTACAGGAGCTACAGCCCTTATGACATGGAGGAGAGCATCAAGAAGGAAGTCAAGGGGGACCTGGAAAATGCTTTCCTGAACTTGGGTGAGTAAGGGTGGCCTGTCCCCCATGAAGCCCAGATCCTGGGCCATCACCCTGGTAACTGGCCGGTGCTTCAAGACGAGAGCGCTGGGTCAGCACCTGCACTGTAGGCATTTGAGACCAGGAGCCACAGTGGGGCTTACACAGCTGCAGGAGAGAATTGCAGTGTCAGCAGCAGGAGCAAAGCTTGCGCTCTGTGGGGGGGCCAGGGACAGGGCATGGGTGCTGGGCATGTGGGGAGGGACACCAGAGAGGTGCGTTTCAGGGAAGACCAGGGGATTGGGCATTTGTGGGGAGCTCCTGGGGGCTGCATGTTTTGGGGGGAGGGGGGGGGGAGGGGCGTCATAGACCTTGGAAACTGCTCATTATGGGGACCCGGTTTCTCATTGAGCCCCTCACGTTGCAGCCCATTCCCATCCTCTGCTCTGTGGCTGGGCTTGGGGGTCTCACCCACTCTGTGGGCGGGAGGGGATCGGCTCAGCCTCAGACCCCCTCCTTCTCCTCACAGTCCAGTGCATCCAGAACAAGCCCCTGTACTTCGCTGACCGCCTGTATGACTCCATGAAGGTGAGCCCTGCTGGGGAGGCCCTTTCCTCTCCTGCTCCTGAGCTAAGCACCCTTTCCCAGGCGTGGATGAAAGGCCCTTTGGAGGAGGGTTCCGTTGCGCTGGCTGGCTGTGGGGTCTGGCAGTTTGAGAAGACCCCAAGTCTGCCCTCTCTTCCTTTCCCTGCTGTGAGGGGGAGGGAGAAAGAGCCAGATGGCTGTCACGTGATTCCAGCTGCTACTCCCGAGTCCCCAGAGAGATGAGAGGCAGCAGTGACACTGTGCCATCAGCTAGATGTGCTACTTATCGACTTGCATCTGTTTGTTCAGCTCTATTTGGGGCTCGTGACTGGAACACGGCTCGTGATTGGGGTCGCCTCTGTACAGTTTGTCCCCACAGCCCCTCCCCAGCCTCCACCACCACCACCATCTCAGGGTCCCCACCCATCCACCCACCCACCCACCCCCACCCATTTTACATGGAGTCCATTAGCTGGAGCCCTGTGGAGCCGGTGCCACCTGCCATGTTCTCGGCAGATGAGAAAACCGCCACTCAGAAAGGCTCATTTGCTTGGGCTTATGGAGTCCCTGGCCCGACCCTGCGATGCTCCTTCCCACCATCCCAACCTGTTTTCCATGTCTCAGCAGAACCTGGTGGTTTCTGCTCCCACTTCCTCCCTGGATTCCTCCCGTCCTTCCTGTCTCTCCTGTCCTGCCTCTGTTCCCTGTCCTCTTACGTGCACACACTCAGAACAATGGCAGGAAGCCAGGGGTGGGTGGTGGGTGGTGCAGGAGCACTGGGGGCTGCGCTCTGAGCCCTGGATCATCTCCCTTCAGACCTCAACTCACACTCTTCTGACCTGGGTCTGTGTGATCCGATGCAGAGTTGACGTTTCTGCAGACTCATCCTGGGGGCTGTGCACTTCCCAGGAGACCTGATTCTTTCTTTCTTTCTTTTTTTTTTTTTCTCCATGCTAAGAAGTTGGAAGGAACCTGGTACTGGGCATCAAACCTGGACCTCTTGCAGGCAGAGCCTGTGCTCTGGCCCTTCGAGCATTTCTCTGGTCCCACGGCTCAGTGTGGTTTATTGGGGGTCACACCTGGCGGTGCTCAGGGCTTACTCTGGCTCTGTGCTCAGGGATCACTTCTGGCAAGGTGGGGGGACCATATGTGGTGCCAGGAGTGAACCCAGGTCAGCAGCATGCCAGTCTCATGCCCTACCCCCTGAGCTAGGTCCCTGGTCCACCATAATTCAGTTTGTTAAGGGGGTCGACTCGCGACTAGCTCTGCAATCCCCCAGAATGTATGAAGACCCCAGAGCGGTGCTGTGGGCAAGGAAACTTCCAGGTCTTTTTTTTTTCAAATTAAAATATGAAATGAAACATTTTTAATTATTTTTGATGAATATTTTTATTTGTTATTATTAGCAAGAACGTTTTTCTACTTTTGGGGGGCTACACCCAGTGATGCTCAGGGGCCATTCCTAGCACTGTTGCATAGGAGTGACCGCGGGACAGTGCTTAGGGGACCCTTTGTGTTGCTAGGTTCTTTGCACCAAGTTGGACACATGCCAGGCCAGTGCCTTCCCTGACATCCTCCCTCGGGCCCTGTGTTTAATTCTGAATAATCAGCAGGCATAAGCCACATTCCCCCACGGTTGTCTGGAACGTTCTCTGGTGTTTCAGGGCAAGGGCACGCGCGACAAGGTGCTGATCCGCATCATGGTATCCCGGAGTGAGGTGGACATGCTGAAGATCAGGTCTGAGTTCAAGAAGAAGTACGGCAAGTCCCTGTACTACTACATCCAGGTACGCTGGAGCAGATGCACCCTGGGCTCAGGGGCTTGGGGCTTCCTGGTGTGCATCTCCCCTTTCCTCAGGACTTGCTGACACCCAGGGAAAGCTCAGCCCAGACTCACACTGGGTTCCAGCTCTGTTTCTAGAAAGTTCCCTGGAAGGGGCTTGGCCCCTATCCGCTGCCCACAGCCCTCCTGGCTCCTGTCTCTTTACCCTGAGCCCCAGAACAGGAAGGGGGTTGTTTCCCCAGGCCCCCTGAGTCCTCCCTGCACTCAGCACCCCCCTTTCCTGGGTGAGCCCCCCTCTGTCCAAGGAAGACCAGTGACACGGAGCCTGTTGAGGGCGATGCTTGGTCACTGCCGCCTCATTTCCAACAGCTTTGTCTTTTTCTTCTGGTCTTTGAGCTCCACCCAGCAGTGCTCAAGACTCCCTCCAGACTGCCCTCAGCTGCCACTCCTAGCAGGGCTCAGGGGATCCTGTGGGCAAGCACCTTACTCACTGTTTTATTGCTTGAGCCCCATCACTAGCTTTTTTTTTTTAAGTTTTTTGGTTTGGATTTGGGGGGGCGGTCACATCTGACATGACTCAGGGTTACTCTCAAATCATGTGCTGGGGCTGGAACCTGAGTCCCCTGCATACGGAGCCTGCATTCAGCTCATTGATCTGTCTCTCCCACCCCCCTTACCAACTACCAGCTTCTTTCTACATGATCAGAGGTTTGCACAAACGAGGGCCTGGGGCTATAGGTCCGAAGTGGACATAGATAGATGTAAAGCTCAGGGTTCAATCCCTGATGAATCTTCTCTCCCTCTCAAAAAAATATACAGAAACCAACACGGTGGCAAAATCCTATTACGTCCTCAGCAGGGGAGTCTCGGAGACAGAGCCGGGTGTGAGGGCAGGGCAGGCTCTGGTCCACCGGAACCCCAGCACCTCATCTCCCCATCCCTGTGGAATGAGAGTGACTTGAGAATCACCTTTTAGGTCACGTCCTGGGGACCCCGGTGACGATTTGGGGTTGTCCTTCTGGGCTTGCTCTGTCATCTCTTTTCAAATGTCCTAGTCTGGTCGCTCTGGGGATCAACCCTGGGGCCTCCCCACGCAAGGCAATGCAGCCGCGGGAGCTGAACCTCCTTTTCTCTCCTTGGCTTTGTAGCAAGACACCAAGGGTGACTACCAGAAGGCGCTGCTGTACCTGTGCGGTGGAGACGACTGAGCCCAGCCCCGCCCTGCAGCCTACCCCAGCTACCAGCTGTAGGACGCAGCTTGCAGCTAACCCCGCAGCCTGGCCCGCCCGCCCCAGCTGCCCCCCACACCGCCTGCCTTGCCCGGCTTCTCTCGTAGCCCCAGAGCTGATCTCCCCATGGTCTGGGGAGTGAAATCTATGATGTGAAACACGTTGCCTCTTATGTACTGTCAACAGGTGAATAAATGGAATTTTTACTTTGGAAACGAGTCCTCTGTGGGCCCCTGGCTTGGACAGTCACACGCCCTCGGGCTGAGCTGGGTGGGGAGTGCTCACGGAGGGGCAGGGAGGACGTCCCAGAATGGAGCTGTCCCTGATGGTGTCCTTAGCCCAGTGCACCCATTTACACTTAAATGAATGTACATGAACACCTAAATCGGAAGCTCATTTCTTCAGTCATGCTATGTACATCTCAGATGCCCCATGCCACCGGACACGCTTTGCAGTTCCTGTATCTGGGCAGCACGGGTTGATGTAAAAAGTGCTGCTGTTTGTGCCACCCGGGGGTCCGAGTAGCTGTAGGGGAGGGGCCTTTATCTGCCCATTTCCACAGAGAAATCAGATGAAAATAAACATCAGAGGTGGCCTCAGACCGGGCAGAGCAGTGAGGCTGGGTGCTGGACTCAGTTTAAGAAACAATTTTCTTATTTTTGTTTTTGAGTGATGCTCAGGGCTTACTACTGCTGGCTCTGTGCTCAGGGGTTACTCTGGTAGAACTTGGGGGACCCTGTGGGGTACTGGGAGGAGTCTAGGCTGGCAGCCTGTGCTATCTCTCAGGCCCAGCAGACTTCTTTTAGCCAATGGATTTCTGTAAAGAACTGTTCTCTGACTGGCCTCCGGAGGACTCGGCCTCTGCTCGGGAGCCAGCCTCCAACTTTCTTGTATCTGAGGCCCAGTGAAGGCCGAGAGGGAGCCAGAGAGGGAGCCGGAGGAGGTGGGCACTGGGGAATAGAGGGAAGGGGTCCTTTGGCCACTCCCTGAATTCTCGGGTGACATGCATAGGCAGGAAGAGGCCTCTGCCCACAGCTGAGACTGAGGAAGGGTGAGTAATAGGTGATGCAGGCAATGACAGAGTGAGAATCAGTGTGAGTGTGGGCCTCCCTGAGCTACAGCACACACAGCGTCCTTGCACGCAGGGCCTGGGGTCTGGGGCCACACCACATGGGAGCCCTGAGCACAGAACCAGGAGTGGCCCCTAAGCACCACTGGGCATGGCCCCCTAATTCAAAACTTGGTGGGGGCTCCCCCAGCTTCCTTGGACTCTTGGGGCCACTCTGCCTGGCAGCGTGGGCCTGATGCTGTCTTGACGGGGGTCAACAGTTGCTCAGGTGATGTGGGGGCTGCAGCCTCCTGGGGCCACATGCGGCTCTGGCCCCCTTTCTCAATAGACCCTGCCCGGGTGCGGTGCCTGTTTCCATGTCTCTGTCCATAGTGGTTATAGTCCAAGAATCGGATCCACGGAAACCTAGTTCTCAAGAAACTGAAAATGTGGGGTAGGATCTGGAGCTCCACAAACCCTTCCTCTACGTTTCCTGCTCAGACGGTGCGGGTGTGAGCCAAGCACTTACTCCCACTCTGGGGTCTCACAGGTCTTGGGCCCAATGGCAGCAGCACGGAATGCATGGAAGAGGGTGGCTGGGGGCGGGGGTGGGGCGACGAAGGGGCAGGATGCAGGGAACCTGGAGTCCTGGGTGAAAACTGCTGTTGACCATCGAAATTCAGGCAAGGGCCCACGGGTGCTCGGGAGAAGCCCAGGCAGAGCACCTGATACAGAGTTTCTAAAGCTGTGGGTCAGGACCACACACACAGTCTCCTAACCAACAGGGCAAAGGTCACAAAAAGTTAATTTTAATATCAATTTAAAAGGGGCTGAAGGGTGGGAAGGTGCTCTCCTTGAATGCTGCTAGCCTGAGTTTGCTCCTCAGGTGCTACAGAGGGTCCCTGAGCCCCAGCAGGAGAGGTCCCTGAGGTACGCGGAGGGTGGCCCAACCCTGTCCTCCAGAGAAACTAAGAAGCCAAAGCCCCCTGCTGGGCAAGTCCATGTGGCAGGCTGGACAGTGGCTGAGACTCGGGGTTACCTCTCCTGGGAGATCTGTGGGCAATAGGGAGTCACAGCGGGTCCTTAAGGGAGGGAGAAACCAGACATCCCTGGGGATTCCGGTGGGTGGGAGGGTGGGTTGGGAGTCCCACAGGGAGGCTGACATGTGTAGGTGTGGAGTACAAGAAACAGGTCTGCCTTGGGCAGAGCAAGGACGGTTTGTGGGTTTTTAGAACTGACAGGAAGGACACTTGGAATTCCATCTCCTGATCTTCTGGATTCCAGCCTGTTCTCCTAGTCCTGCTGCCCAAGCAATTTTTTGAAGCAAAGAGAACCATCTGGCAATGGAAAAGCTTCTCCCAGACAATTTGACTTTGCAAAGAGAAGGGGTGGGGACACAGGCAGGCCGGATGGTTTGGGGGCGGGTGGGCTTGGTGTGGCTTGCTGTGGGTGTGGAAAGCAGGACAGTGCCGAGATGGCCTTGCCACGTCAGTAGCCAGGGAAGCGGCTATCCAACCATGGCCGAGGGAGAAGGGAGCTGTTTGCCCCAGACAGGGTGCTGGGCTGTGCAGGGCTATCACATGCTCAGCTGCAGAATTTAAAGAAAGTGGAAGTAGGCAGTATCCAATGGAAATGAATCCTGAGACTTAATCAGCAAAACTGGGAGCTGAGGTGGCTGAGGATGGGGAGGGAACTTGGAACAAAGTTCCAAAGTGGCAGGACCACCAAAGTGGCAGGACCTTGGTGCTGTACACGGAGTGGCAGCACTGAAATTATAAAACCGTCTTCTGTGTTATTGTCAACTAGGACACCTCAATGCAAACTGGTGAAAAGTAAAAAGAATTGACTTTCTATGCTAAAAAGATTTGGAAGACACATTTTGCACACACACACCACACACATGCACACACACATACACAAACACACACACATACACACACACAAACCTCTCAAGACCTGGTGTTTCCATGATCTTTGCACCTTTTCACCAGGCTCAGTGCTAAGGGCTGTACACTTCCTCTCCCCTGGGCTGAGAAGCTGCGATGCTCTGAATTATTAGACACAAGAGCGAAAGCAAGGAAAAGTAGGCCCACAAAGTGGCTACATTTAGCAAGAAAAATGATTTGAAGACAGAAACCCTTTAAATCAATTTTCAGTCTTTAAATGACTCCAATCTCTAGGTCTCTCCCCAGGTTTTGACAAACGGTTTAAGGCTTCTTATCCACATCAGTTTATTTGACCTCCTTTCTCCATCAACAACCAAAATGAAAACTCCACTGCAAAGAGAAAGAGAGGGAGCAATTTTAAACATCTTTTAGCAATGAGGCAGAACATGCTACAGCCATCAACTTCTAGTTGTTCATTCTATTTATTGAAAAAAGCCTGTAGCCTGATTTCTTTTATGTGAGTACATTTGAGCAAGCAAAGTTTATAGAGATGACTTATCTCATTACATTAGAAGAGTGATTTGCTATCTCAGCATCTATAAGCAATTTTAACAGACATTTCTGGATGAGGAAAAGCTTTTGTAAATATATGCGAAAGACACAATTTCATCAAGCATTAAATTGGAGGTGCCCTGGAAAAATATTACATTTGTGCATTCAATTAGCTTGATTGTGGCTGAATTTTGTCCACTGAAGGCAGCATTTCTGCAGAAAAACAGCAGCGTTTCCTATGTCAGCAGCTTCCCTAGAACAGGAGAGCTCACTTCCCCCCTTTGTATTCAAGCTGCTCCCAACTATGCAACCAAATCAGGCAGATTAGTCTTTTTTTTTTTTTCTTTGTAGTTGTGGGTCTGGAGGAGAGAACCAGAATTTAGATTGAAGACTTCTGGACATCCAAACCCAATAGTCCCAATGAAAACTAAACCTGTTTGTCTTAGCCCCAAAGCTCAGTAAGCTATGGGTTAAACTGGGCCTGATGAAGGTTAGACTGAAGATCTTTACGTTCCTCCCTGGTCTCTGCAGGTTTTATTGTTCTACTTCCTGGGCCTGCAAGATACTGCTTAACCCTTGCTATTATTGTTGGCGAGAGTGTAGTTAGTGAGGGACCATTTGCCTTCCTTGTTGAGACCACAAAAATAAACAAACAACATTATTAGCGGCCTTCCTGGCAATTCCCAGCCTGAATCCCCAGCTGGTGGCTTTGCTGGTGGTGCTTAGGGGACTCTTGGCACCAGGGATAGAACCAGGGTCAGTCGCTTGCATCGTAAGTACCTTAACTTCTGCACTGGCTCTCTGACACTAATATTGCTGTTTTTTTATTTTCTGGAGACAAATGTATAATTTTATTCTTGGAATGAAAACTTTTGCTTCTCATATAAAAATGAGAATGATAAGTGGGGAATCAGGGTGTATATAGATGGGGTGCGGGAGACCTTTGAATTTACAGGAAAGAAATGAGTGGAGCCTTGAATTTACAGGAAAGAAATGAGTGGAGAGTTTAGGCTTATCACTTGTGTTCCCCTCCCTGCACTAATCTGTTATTGAGCCATGAGCGTTCTCTGCAAAGAAATGAATCAGATAAGATGTCCTGTGAGATTGCTGCTCATTTGAGACAGTAGGTCAGGACAAATCAGTACTTTCCAGTAATCTAACCCAAGATTATTATTATACTTTTGAATACATTTCTAAATATTAATTTAAGGGCTGGAGGGAAAGGTGCAATGGGTAAGGTGCTTGTCTTGTGTATTTCTGACCTGGGTTTGATCTCCAGCATCCCAGATGGTTCCCTGAGCCCTATCAGAAGTGATCCCTTTCAAAACAGGAGCCAACCAACCTTAGAGGGAAATATTATATTATTCCAGTTCTCCTTCGGGGCAGGGATTGGGGTTCAGGATGGAAACACCCAAAATATGTTGGTGGGATGGTGTAATGTGTTTGAATATTAAATGTAATCAAATACTGTGAACTACTGTGTATAAAATAAAAATATAAAAAGAAGAAGAAGAAGAAGAAGAAGTGATCTCTGAGTGCAGAGTAATCCACTCAGGCATTGCTGGATATGGCCAAAAAACAAAAACAAAAACAAAACAAAAAAAAGATCAATTCAACTGTCAGCAAAAAATCCTGGTCAGGAATAGAGGAATGTTTAAAACTAGTTTTAAATTTCTTTATTAGTGATGCTGTCAGATGTAAAATTTTGCCATTAGATTTTGTGCTTTGG